TTGAGGAAAGTGCTGACAGTCTTCGTCAGAAAGTAACACAGCATGCTGAGTTGGAGGAGAAACAATACTATTGATAGTATCAAATAGAATTCTTGGGTTATTTTTATGACGATTTATGAGATTATTGAAGTAAGAGGATCTGGCCTCTTTAACTGACTCATTATATAAGTGAAGAAGTTCTTTGAAGTGTTCCCGATGGACAACCAGCCCAGTGGACTTCCAGAGACGCTCTGCTTTTCGACAGGAGCGTCGAAGACCACGGGTTTGATTATTTAACCATGGTGTGCAGGAACTAACAGTGCAATGACTAGTTTTGAAAGGAGCAACCTGATTAAGAATGGCAAGACAGTGTTCATTAAAAGAATTAATAAGGATGTCAACCTCGTCAGAAGAAGGTTTAAAATTAAAAAGAGAAGAAAACTTTAAAATGACAGAGTCATCAATAAAGCGCCTGCGCCTAATAAAACTTTGGGGAAGAGACTCTGAATTGAACAATACATTAAAAAAGACTGACTTATGATCGCTAAAAGAAACATCATTTAAGTTCATGTGGTCAAGGGAAACACCACAGGTGAAGACCAAGTCCAGAGCATGCCCAGCTGTGTGAGTAGGACCTGATACATGTTGAACAAAATTAAAAGAGTCCATAATGCTCAGGAACTCCTTAGTGGTACTATTTGATGAGTCCTCTGCATGAATGTTGAAGTCACCAACAATGATGACCTCGCCCAGTTTAATCGTGGAAGTTAAAAATTCTTGTAGGTCTGACAGAAAAGCTGCAGCAGACCCAGGTGGACGATAAATTAAAATGCCGTATATGGGCTGTTCTCGTCCAATTTTTATCATAATCATCTCAAAAGAGTTGTAACAGCTTGAGGAGATCATCTGGCATAAGAATGTCTTTTTGAAAATTACCGCTGTTCCACCCCCTCGTCCAGATATCCGAGGCGCACAGAGAAATGAACAGTCAGCGGGACACAGCTCTAAAAGATGTGAGACTTCATTCTCACGCTGCCACGTCTCAGAGATAAACATAAAATCAAGCTTCTCCGTACAGAACAAGTCATTTAAGATATAAGACTTGTTGGCAATTGAGCGCGCATTAATTAACATCCATTTAACGCTGCGACCCACCGGGACAGGGGTAGAGTTTCCAGGAACAGAGTTCGTACTATGCGGTAAGCTGCGCAGCAAAACAGGGTTCCTGCCGCGATGAGGCATTGCTTTCCATGACTTTTAGGTGGAAGCTTGGGTGGTAAACACAGTGGGTTGTGGGGATTAATCCAGCTCCGACAAGTCTCAGCGGATCTTACTGCTAGCAGCCCAGGAATAAAGCCCCCGAAGATCTGCCTCTTTCCGAAGACGACGGAGCAGGACAACAAAGCCGGCTCTCTTCCCCCGCTTCCTCCGACGAGGCCTCTGAAGCAAAATTGAGCTGACCGGCAAGAGTGGAGGTGAACCGGGTGCTGCGTCGCGCTCAAGCGGCGGTGGGAAAACAACGTCGTATCGTTGACTCTGAAAGTTATCCATAGCAGATTTGATCGCCAGTAACGCATGGCGATCATAAATCCGAAGGGAGATGACACCAGACAAAACTGTAGCAAAAACACTTGCACAACATATAAAGTAAACAAACACACGGACGGAGGCAGCGGCACAGCCAAACACAGGCGCCATCTTGCTTCTCCACTTGCACTAGCTATGTGTTGAGGAACACATATGTTCCTCAACTATGTGTTGCGCTAGCATGCACTAGCTATGTGTTGAGGAACACATAGCTAGTGCAAGTGGCTTGCGGTTACAA